GAGGATGATGCGTTGGATCCGGAGGTTGGTGGGGTGATACGTGAGGACGAGGGGGATTCTGTTTTGGTTGTTATTGCGGGGATGGGGTGTGAGGGATGAGTTGCGGGAAATGCAAGAGACACGGTTGAGGGCGTTCTCGACTACTGAGGGGGGGAAGTTGCGGTCCTTGAAAAACGAGGACATCTGAGATGTTCGGGAGTGGAATGCCTCATCCTGGGAGCAGATGTGGTGGAGTTGAAGGAATTGGGAATAGGGGATGGCATTTTTGCAGGAAGGTGGGTGGGAGGAGGTGTATTCTAGGTAGCTGTGGGAGTCGGTGGGCTTGAAATGGATATCGGTTTCCAGGTGTTTGTCAGAGATGGAAACAGAGAGGTCCAGGAAGGAGAGAGAGGTATCAGAGATGGTCCAGGTGAACTTAAGGTCGGGGTGGAAGGTGTTAGTGAAGTGGATGAACTGTTCGAGCTCCTCGTGGGAGCACGAGGTGGCGCCGATAAAGTCATAGATGTAACGGAGGAAGAGTTGGGGGATAGGCCCAGTGTAGCTTCGGAAGAGGGATTGTTCCACGTATCCTACAAAGAGGCAGGCATAGCTTGGGCCCATGTGAGTACCCATGGCCACCCCCTTTGTCTGTAGGAAGTTGCAGGAACAGCACCTCATATTTCGCTTGGGAACCCTGCAGCCCAATGGTATCAATGTGGAGATAACAAGGTGTAGAGCTGGATGAACACAGCAGGCCAAGCAGCATCAGAGGAGCAGGAAGGCTGATGTTTCGGGCCTAGACCCTTTTTCTGAAGAAGGGTCTTGGCCCAAAACGTCAGACTTCCTGCTCCTCTGATGCTGCTTGGCCTGCTGTGTTCATCCAGCTCTACTCCTTGTTAACTCAGATTCTCCAGCATCTGCAGTTCCTACTATCTCTGGTGTATTAAGAGGTTTATTTTAAAAGTTGTAGGAGACACCTGCACCAACATCTGTTCTTCTCCCTTTTTAATCCTTCAGAGTATTATTAATATAGGCAGGTCAGGTATATACTTGTGCTTATATCACAAGGAATGTTTGCTATCAAGTATTTAGATCATGGCAAAGAAGAAAGAAAT